CCCCTCCACTCTTGGTCCCGATCTTGCCCAGGTTCTCGGCCACTGCCCTGGCTGCCGGTGCCAAGGATTGCGGGTGTGTAAGCTTCTCCCATGTGACTGCTGTAGGAACCGCTGCCTCGTACTTCTCTCGTTTGCACCTCCGAAAACGTCTCTCCGCGGCCACGTAGGCTGGCCCTCCTGAACAATTCCAGTTGTAGCCGGGGAGGAGGTGCGGATAGCGGAGGCACCGCCTTGTGTTGATGCCAAGTGTTTGCGATTTGAACACACCAGGAGAAACGATTACAACGTTGTTCTTGGTACTCAATACCTTGTCACCAGCTCCTTTTTTGTGTCAAAAAGCGAAGTTGTCCTTGTTGCGGGCGCAGGTTTCACTCGGTTGCCGCAGGAATGTTTCCAAAGGGGGAAGCGGACCTGGTGCACCACCTCATGTCCAAAGCTCTACACGAGGTGTGTGTTTGTGTTTGTGTTTGCTTGTTTGCTTTGTATCGACGACGCTTACGGGCTGACCAACCCATTCACGTCAGGTCTCAGCGGGACATCGATTGCCATGGCAAAGCTTGTCCGTGCGTGTGTCTCTGTGCCGTGCCGTGTTGTCCCCGTTTACGGCTCGGGTTATAGCCTCGATTTTAGCGTTGGTTTGCCCGTTGAGGGCATCGAGACGTCTTCATTTTTGGCAACAAGTAGGGGTGCAATTATCTGTGTGACGAGCGCCAAATATTTGCCGACTAAATAGGTTGCCCATGCTGTGGCTTACTCGACTGGGTAATGGTTATCCAGTGCAGCATGCTAAATATCATTTCCCCCGGTGTATATAACACCCTAGAGGGCGAAATCCTTCTGCGCCGAGTTTGCTTTTGACGACAAAACCGCGCCCCCCTGCTTCAGCACACGACACCGAGATGGTGACTCGAGTGATCGTAAAAAACAATGTCACGACAGGTCAAGCGCTTGAGCGAGAAGTCGAAGGAGGAGGAAGGTGGGGACAGAGGTGCTAGTTCCGAGGATGGAGACGAGTCGTCCCCGGGGTCGGAGTCTGCGTGGCCACCTTCCGAGACGGAGAGGCTTAGAGACGGTATCAAGGCTGCCATCTCCTGTCTGGTGCCGTACAAGTCTCACTGGCCTCATGTGCGTATCGACCGTTTCAGCATCTGCTGGTGGTTGTTGTTTCGCTTGTGTTGGTTTTTCTGGTGAGGTACCGCTGTTGTACATTCCGGGCCGGAATCCACCCCTTCTATTGTACCGCCGTGTTAGCTTAGCGCCATCGCCCCCCTGCTCCTGACTTAAGCCCACGGTGACTTGCAAGGATACGACAGGACGATCGATTTTCAGACCCCGATTACTCTGCAGCACAAACGGTAACGATGCCCACAAATGACGCCGATTGAACCGTTTCGTCGAGAGCTTCCCGAAAGCCTCTCTTTTCATGTTGGCATCCTCTTTGTCGTCGAGTGGTCAAGCTTTGAAAAATCGCTCCAGGGGGGGGGGGGGGGGG